GTCCCCTGGTTCTTCTTTGATTCTCCTCTGCTTCAGTGTCGACGTGTAGTGCGTCTATGCGTGTGTGATCTTCATTTTTCCTTTCTCTTCAGCTAATGGCACCGTGTGAGTGGGTGTGGTAAACTCAACCTCTTTCTCCCTTTTGATCGGCAATTTTGCCCCTTTTCTTCATTGTTGCTGTAGTCTTGATTTGTTTGGGAGATTGAGGTAATGTTTTAGCTATTGATAGGTGTTACCTTAATTGATGCTAAGCTGAATGTTGATTGTAGAATTAGATTTTTGAAGTTGTTGAAAATTTTTGAATACTTGTTTCATGATTTAGTTAATGGCGGTGTTTGTAAAAGTACTTGAAAGAAAAATTTTGGTGAAAAAAGATTGTTTAATCTTTATATTATGGCTTGGAGGAATTATGGATGCCATTTGGAAAGCTATACGTGCAATTTTATATATGAGTAATAGGTTTGAAAATATTGATTGGATCTCGAAGTACCTAAAATAGATAATGATAAGTTAAATGGTGGTTGTGGTGCTTCATTAACTAGTATTAAGAAAACATAAAAGGAATAAAAATTAAATTTCTTCTCTTACTCTTGTCGGGTTGTGGATAAGTTATTAAATTTGATAATGAAATTTTGGTTGTGTATTTTTAGGTGTAATGTTGTTTGGGATTGGACTTCAATGCTCACCAAGTGCTTGAGAATTTCTTGATAAGTGAAATTAAAGGTTGTAATGAGTGCTTAACAGGGTAGACAGAATCTTATTAGTTTGTTGAAAACTAAGTTGTTAAATATTTACTTATTTATAAAGAAAAAAGTAAATAAGTGATTTTAGAATTGTGATTTATTTATTAGAAAATTAATGGAATCATTGAAATTAAAGTGAGAAGTTAAAGAGAAGTAAGCTTTAGAATTCATGGAGAAATCCTCAAGTTAGTGGGTAGAGTCTTGGATAAACTTTTCATAAAGTATTTATAAAATTCATTTATTTGAATTTTTAATATTATTTCTTATAAGTTGTATAAATATCCTTGTCAATTCTATTTTTATAATTATTTTTTATTATTAATGATGTCTTAATTTTACCAATGATTTATTTATTGGTAAGAAATGATTGAAGTCAATATTTGACAAATAGTTCTACTTTTCAAAAGCAAATTTATTGATTAACTCTATGTTTGATATGAAAGCTTTTAATACAACAATTACTGCATGGAGGAAATGAAAATGAGTGGAAAATGGAAGATGATAGTTAAATAGTGTACTGTAAAAATGAAAACTTTAAATTTGTTTTCAACTTCATGCACGTTTGATTTTAATTAAGGGGTTGAGCTTAGAATACTAGATGCTAATGACAATTTCGTTAGATCTTGGTGCGCTATGGTACTTAGCTAGTAGGTTGCTTAGAAGATGTTAGCTCCATGCAATGGACAATGCTCATGAAATATGGAGAGATAGTTATTCGTAAGCATCGTACTCACTCTTGTTTTTGTGGATTTTGATTTCTTGGATTTTATGCTTGCACTTGCTTTTGTGGCATCGAGCCATGTTTGTCATTCCTTCTGACAAAGTCCTTTTGTGTTGGATTTTAATAGTTTATTGTTTACATTAGTCCTTTAAAAAGTAATGGCTGATTATATCATTATTTGGATTTTTATTTTATGATTAGTATGAATTTTTGATAAACCTATATTGTCCTAACATCATGGATTGATTCAATAGATAAATTATTGAGTAAATTTTTCATTTAATACTAATTTAAGGTATGTGTTGTGATATTTTATTGGTTTTAGTTAAACTAAACTTCTTAATTATTACTATTTTATGTTTTAGTTCATAATCTCAATTGGGACACTACTTACTAAAAAATTTCTTTAGTCTTAAAAATTATAGTTGACCCTACGCTTCTTGCTAATCGTTGAGGGCTTTTATTGCTTTTTGAATAGTAGAAGCATGCTTTGATCATTTCTTTTGATGTAAATATGTATTGCATTGTACCATTATAATTTAGTACTCCACATATATTGTAATTAGATTTTAGTCTTATTTGATTATTTTGTAATCTATTGGTATAGAGCTAACCCTTTCCGGATTTTTCAATTAGGTTTGTAACTATAGAAATTTTGGGAGGTCTTATGTACAAGGAAGACTCTACTGAAATTTTTACATAATGTTCAAAACTTTATGAACTTTATATTCACACACACATACACATATATATATTAGAGACTTATTGTTTAGTATGAATTATATGTTGTTATTTTGAATTAATTTTTAGTTAGTTAAAGCTTATGGATGTGAGTTTATCTCATATTTTGTGTCAATCACACCCTTAGTATCGGAGTGTGACAATGTTGTTATTAGAGGTGATCATTGTGAAGGAATTTAGGAGAATGAATAAAGTAAGTTGCTGTTTGCGTACAATATTTTTCATTTTCAACCACTTTTAATTTAAAATTGTTCATTTTTATATTTTTGTTTTCTTAACAGTATCTTATGGAATGGGGCAAAGTAGAGTATGAATATTATATTATCCGCTACGTATATAATATCATATCCTCTAGAGTTATTGTAAAATTTGATTATGTATTTTATTTGTTTCCTCATGGGTTGAATGTATTTGAGTTTTAACTATTATTTGCTCTAATTATTTTTCATTGCTACTTACACTTGCAGTATTTTAAAGATCCAAGGAATGCAGCAATGATGATTTATTGTTGTGGTTCGATGGGGATCATTTAGCTCAGTTCTCTTGCTCCAAGGTATATGGTCAAAGTAGGATTATTAATAGTATAGTTTTGCAAAATTTACTCTTTTTAAGATTACTGGTACAGTTCCCATGTTTTGCACTTTGGCAAATTTTACAGTTTGAATATTAGTTGAAAAGCTTTATTTGTTTGAATTGTTTTGGTGTTGCTGGATTTTATATTTTGTTTGTTCTGGTTCTGATTTGAAATGTGCAAGTTTGGGACTGTTTTGATACACAAACAATGCACAACCGATGTACATTGACTATTGAACACAACCAATGTAGAAAAAATTTTTGGCGCCGGTTCAATGTGACCAACGGTAATAACCTAAATTCTATGTCCCTAGTATTTACTACCCTCTCACTACTGACGTAAATAGATTTTCTTGCAGTGGTATTTACCCCACAGGACAGTATGGCCTCTCTGCCTTAAATTCTATGTATACAAAGCAAAAGCAGACAAGAAGACGAAGAAAAAGAAGAGGGCGAAGTGGAAGAGGTAGAACTCACCACGAAACAAAACAGCTATGCCGAATACCCACAAAGCTCTTAGATGGAGAACACGTCAACGATGATGGTGTTCAGATGAAGAAGATGGCGATGATACTGGTGCTGGGACAAGGAAGATGGCGACGATGCTGGTGCTTGGATGAAGAAGATGGCCAATGGCTCGCGTGCTTGAATTGCGTGACGAATTAGGGACTAGGGCGCATATGTATTTCAGTCACTTATTTTTAGGGGTATTTTAATCGTAATAAGAATTTGTAAACTGCAGAAAAGAACTATGGTACTTAAATACAATTTCAAGATTTTATACCCTTTATAATTATTAATTACTAATTTTTGTAGGATCGTCTTTGTTATTTCCCCTTGTATTAATTTAGATGGGCTCGCTGGAGATGACCAACTTAGATGGACTTTGGTATTAATTTGAGCTTTTAAAACAAAACAACTTTTAAAAAAAAAATTATTCAATTATAAATCTTGCAATTGATGACAAGGCTTGAGAAAAAAAAAATCCTAAGAAGAATTACAACCAAGTCTCATATAAAAAAATTAATTATTACAAGATTTATTAACAACTGAACTAAACCTTATTGACCACTGATTGTATTCTTAATAGCATTTAGTTCAGTTGTCAATAAATTTTATAATAATTAATTTTTTTATATAAGACTTTAATATAATTCTCCTAAAACTATATTGCATTATCAACTTTGGTATATATATATATAAGTTTTTTTTATGTTATGAAAACAATACTGAAAATTGAATCAGTCAAAATATTGAATCTCTGTGGTTGAGTCATTTCGATTGGCCTTCATTAAAATGATAAAATATAAATGTTATGTAAGAAAAATAAAAATATTTAAGACAATATTTAACAATATCCGCATAATACATGTCAAATCTATAATTCACTGCACCAGCATTATAATCAAACTATTTATTGTCCATTGCAAATAATCAAATTCATCAAATATATCATATTAATTATCAAACAAAACCAACACAAGCTTTCATTATTAATTAAAATTACTAAAGAATAATCAATATAACACTAAAAAAAACCAGCCACAAGACAAATGAAAACATAAAATAACATAGTTTTGTATAATTGAGATTTTTCAAAACAGAAATAAAAAATTAGACCGGTTCTTGATGGGTTTACTTTTCACCCAGGTTTTGTATTCTGATCGTGTTGGACCATAAGCCAGTTCCCAATCAAACCGGCGGATGCAGTCTGATTCTGACAGTACTTTTTTTTCTTGTATATGTCAGTCGGATAATGATATAATTAATGACACAGCACAGTGAACAAATTCGTTACTATTTGTGATGGCTACTTTATCCTGGCTTCCTGTGGAAAAACAAATTAGCCCTGGCCGCCAAATGAACTACATTATTTTATAAACATCATTTTTAAGTAAACCAAAATCAAAATCAGGGCCCAGCTGCCTCATAACATTAAGAACAATCCCAAAAATCCTTACCTACCAGTAGATATCCAAGTACAGTTGTAATGCATACAATGTTTTTCGTAAAATAACTTGAATGTTGAACTGATGATCACATCAGAAAATCTCAAATTTCAAATACTTCATATATTAACATAGCAAACATAATCACTCCATTATTTTACAAGACTACATGCTCCTCAAAAAAAAAAAACAAACAAACAAACAAACTAAAGAAATAGTAAATAAAATTCTGATTCAATAATCACTCAACCAATGGTACGTGCCTCTAGCATCTTACACAGACATGACTTTTGATTTTTTCAATGATACAACAACATCAATAATAGTAGGTCGTGCCTCAGATAAATCTGAACAACAATTTAATCCCAACTCAAAAATTGATGATATTTGTGGTAATACATTTTCAATATTTTGATTGTCTTTGTGCAGCAACTTGACATCTAAAATATTGATGATTGAATCTGGTATTGATTTACTAATCCAATCTTTCAAACTTATACCTTGAACAAACATCTCATTTGTTGGCTTCTTTCTTGTAAGAGTTTCCATAAGCAAAATGCCATAACCATATACATCTCCTTTCACGGATAAAACTCCATTAGATCCATACTCTCTATATTATATCAGGTTGAATATTAGATAAAAGCAGTTTTGTCAAAAAAGAAAAGGAAAAAAAATATAATTGTTGGTCCATATATGTTTCGCTTGTTTTAGTATCAATTCTATTTTTTCTGTTACTTCAAGTCCCTTAAGGTTCATCTGCTTGCATTGCTAGTTTCTATATTTTTATATATGATCATAAGAACTTAACAGTAGCTAACATAAACATAATATCTATTACTTTTTGTGATGACTTACTAAAATTATGATGAGTTGCATAAAAAATGAGTACAAGGAAAAAAAGTAGGACATTAAATCAGAATCATTAAACGTGCAATGGATGAAGTTTTAAAAGGGAGAAAACATTTCATCTAGGGTAGAAATGCAAAAAGGTTAGTGGTCATTTTGCTTATACAAAGTCCAACTCATCATAATTTTACTATCTTCACAAGACAATTAAGATAATTATGTACACATAAGCATATTTAACAATACCAATAATGATGAAGACTAATATTACAGACCAATGAAATTTAAGAGACTTGGAGCAATGAAAAAAATTATAGGGACTAATTAAAAACTAATGTTAAACTCATATTTTATCTCATTAATACACATCTTCACATGTTAATTTAAAAAAAAACATAGAAAGTTGTTTTGTGGCATTACTATAATTAAAAACAAAATAAAAGTTTTCTACATCAATTTCTCATCAAACCAACATAGAAAGTAGAAACTTTTTAAATCATTACCTGGTGCCATGTAGCCAATTGTAGCCAAGGTTTTGGTGTAAATTTCATTTTGTCCTTCCCCTAACAATTTGGCGATACCAAAATCACCAAGATGAGCCACCATATCTTCATCCAACAATACATTGCTCGGCTTTACATCACAATGAATAACTAACTTAGATGTATCATGATGAAGATATTCTAATGCAGTTGCCACATCAATCAATATATTCAACCTTTGCAAGATATCTAAACACTTGCCATGAGAGTGCAGCCATATATCAAGACTCTCATTTGACATGAATTCCATGATTATAGATTTAAAATCATGTTTTGAGCAACAGCTAATTATCTTAACAAGATTACGATGACGTAAATTGCATAAGGCATCACATTCAACATCGAAACTCCTTAATGTTTCTTCCAAATCTGAGTTAAATACTTTAACAGCAACTATTCTTTCATTTGAAAGGATTGCTCTGTATACTGATCCATAACTTCCAAAGCCAAGAAGATTACTCTCATCAAATCCATTTGTTCCTCTTAGAAGCTCATAATAGGATATCCAAATTGGTGTCTCCAAATTTATTGAATCCCTATTGGTTAAATCATTAACATCTTCTCTAGTATGCTTTAGAAAGGCAACGCATGAAATAACCAAAATGACAACCATAATAGGCAATGAGAATTTCATGAACATCATCACTTTTGTTGATATATGCTTGTTTTCTTTCCTACATGATTGGACTTGCAGTTGGGACTTCCCACTAAGATCCTTGTTCATCATAAAAGATTGAGCAGTAAAATTTAAAAAAGGCCCACCATTTGGAATTTCTCCATGCAATAAATTGTAGGAAAGATTAATGTTCTTTAGATGGATTAGTGACTCTAAGGACTTTGGAATTACACCAGACAAATAATTATGAGAAAGATCCAAGAACTCCATGCTTATCATGCTACTAAGTGATTCAGGAATTGGCCCTTCTAATTTGTTATGGGCCAAGGATAGGTTTAGCAAGGTTTGCAAGCCACCCATAGTTTTTGGGATACTTCCTGAAATTTGATTTCTCGACAAGTTCAATAATGTAATTGCTCTCAAGTTTGATACCTCAAATGGGATTATTCCACTCAATGCATTGGAGGATAAATCTAAAACCAAGATATCTATGAGACTCCAAAGAGAAGAGGGTATATGAGAAATTAATTTGTTAGAGCTAAAATCTAACTTCCGCAGGGAAGTATTCCCAAGGCACCTTGGAACCATTCCTGAAAACATGTTGTTGGCAAGATACAACTCACTTAAACTTTTGAGTTGGCAAAGTTCATGGATAATGGACGCTTGCAATCTATTGCCACTGAGACTTAAATATTGAAGGTTTCGTAAATTGTTAATTGTGTTAGGAATCAAACCCTCCAAATCATTCCCTTCCAAATATAATGCTATCAAGTTTGTTAAGTTTCCAACTACATTGGGTATAGCTCCACTAAATTTATTCAAAGCCAGGTCTAACTTGAAGAGTTTAGAAGAATTTGAGATGCTGTTTGGAATTTGTCCAGTTAGTTCATTCTCATCCAACATCAATTCCTTCAAGTTGGGAAGGCCAATTCCTAAATGTTGTGGGAGAAGGCCATAGAGAGAATTACAGCCTATGTTGACATGTGTCAATGATGAAATGTTGAATATATTGGAAGGAAAAAGTCCACTGAGATGGTTACTTGATAAATCTAACCCTTCAAGTCCATCAAGATTGCCAATTTCTTTGGGTATAAAACCTGGACACAAAAAATGGTGGATATATAGTGACATTTTTATAAAATAATAAATCTTTGATGAAGACTAACACAAACACTTTTATATATGTGGTAGCAAAGAGTATACATACCTGTGAATGAGTTGGTGTCCAAATATAGTAGTTTCAATGATGTGCAGTTACTTAATGATTTTGGAATATTTCCATCCAATTGATTCACAACAACTGATAAGATTTCAAGTAACGCGAATTGATGGCACATCTCTTCTGTCATGTTACCATGTAAAAGGTTGTTGTCAAGGACAACCGTTCTCAAAAAGGGCATGTTGAATAGAAATGGAGGGATTGTGCCTATAAAAAATTTTTAAAAAATATTTTTTTATTAGTAGCTACTAAGACTAGGCTGGTCTACAATATTTAATATTGGAGATAACACACACACACGAATAAGCATTGCGTTTAAACACAAATAGCCATGTATGAATAATAATGAAATTGTGTTAAAGCATATCACAGTACCTGTGAAGAAGTTGTATTCTAATTCCAAGGATTCCATCAACGTCCAATTGGCAATTAATATTGGAAGAGTGCCATTTAAATTGTTTCCCCATAAACTTATATCTCTCAGAGTAGAAATGTTGAATAGAGATGACGGAATTTCACCTGTTTAAAATTAATAATGAGCAAAAGTATCATTTATATTTTATACTAAAAACTATTAAACTAATTAACTACAGTTACATTGTTCTAACATTTATCTTTAAGCTTATTAAACTAATCAAGGTGTCGCGACATGAGTGAAAGTAAGGTACAATTATATGATAAAACAAGAAACTAGGAAATCGTATTAATTGATTCCATATTCTAAGAGTTCAAAAAAATATATAATGTAATATGTATGAATTATGATTGAGAGAATAAATACAATTAGTATTTATAATGTTTTTACCAATCAATTTTTGGTAACGGTAGATAATACTTTTTTTTTTTGACATTTTGCATTATATATTTACTCTAATATTGAAAGTTAATGAAGATTACTATGGCCACATTCCCTGCCTTTGTGAAGAGAGTCCTACCACACACACACACACACACACACACAAAACAAGATCTACTTTTTTTGTTTTATTATTATTATTATTATTATTACGTTTTATCAATTTATTGTATTAGTATATAGTAATTTTTTCCCTTTTATTATAAATATAGAAGAAGATAATTGCCATTATTGTCTATTTTCTTCACGAAGCATCCAAAGCATATAACAGACTAACTACATATATACAAGATAACATCAAAATAATAACCATATGCCTAACTAGATGAGTTAAGCTAACTAAGGTTGGCTAAGTACAACCAACTACAGTTTAGTTAACAACGTATGTTAGCATATGCAGCCTAGCTATGAAACGATTTTCAATCTATTTGGAAAGATTTTCTATTTCAATATGTGATTGATTCATACACTTTGTCTCACTTTTATTTATCACTAATTATTTTATAGTCTAAACTATACATGATAAGCCTGAAGTCTGGATTGTATATCGATAAACATCCTTATCCTTTTAAAACCTTACAATAAACCTCCATAAATTTTTACATTTATGAAAATCATTCTCTAGCTGTTAATTAATTAGTCTATTATTTCATTAATATAATATAATATGACAAGGTTTACTTGCACACCAAAAAAATCGGGGAATTATCACACATAATTTGATGGGAATTGAAATTGTCTACGCCAAAAAAAATATAAATTTTAAATATTGGAATAATTTGGTCAATAAAATATTATGTTCCATTAAAGAAATAAGAGAATAGATAACAACAGGGGTTTCTCTGCCTAAATTTGAAAGTTTATGAGTTATGAGTTCTCTTTGTTAGAGTTTTGTATAATTATTTATCCTATTTTATATAAATTTATTCATCATATTCACTTTTGGACTATGCAATGTAATCCAAAGCTGATGGACACTTAAATTTCATGATTTGACAAAAAAGCTATCAGATTTCATATTTGAAAGTGGTCGACCAATTAAATAATTATGTTTGTAGAAATAGAATTAGGTCGAACAAGCATTGGTCATAGTTGAAGGGGCTATATATAAGTGCTTAAGCGCATCTCGAATTTGAGTCTATATGAATAAAAAAAATGCTTGCTACCCCAAATTAGGACTAGCAAAATAGAGAATTTATAACAATTAGGTCTCTAACAAAAAAATTTAAAAATAAGATGCAAATATTAATTCAAATAATTATAAATAGAAATTTAAATTTGCAAATTGACATATATATTTAGAATTTAAATATCTTATTTGTAATTAATATTCACAATTGATTTTATAGAAAATTTTGCTGGGACCTAACTGTTATAAATTTATTGTTTTGAGACTTTAATATAATTCTCCCTTTGCATCATAGATTAGTGACCCTGACCTATATATCAAAAGAAATTTGCAATCTCCTACCAAGAAAAAGAAAGAAAGAAAGAAAGAAATTTGCAATTAACGTATAATTCATCAAGAGGAACAATAAACAAATCATGGGTATAATTAAGAATTATACCTTCCAAGTTGTTTTTTGAAAGATGTAAAAGTCGGATTTTGGTCAAATTTCCAATGTCACTTGGTATGTATCCTCTGTTGAATCTATTATCAGATAATGATATCTTAGTCAATTCTTTGCACTGATGCCAAATAGAGGGCATTTTGCCAGATAAATAATTCTCCTCCACAAGAAAAGTCTCAAGCTTTGGTAGGCCAAAACACACATTTGTTGGAAGACTGCCGGATAATTGATTTGTTCCCATTGCAATGTGTTGTAGCATTGAACTATTAAATAAAGAAGATGGTACAGAACCAACAAGAAGATTCCGTTCAAGGTACAATTTCTTTAGCTGTGGAAGATAACCAACCAGATATGGAATGCTTCCTTGAAATATTAGAAAAATAAAGAGTATTAGTAATAATATGTTTGGGAATGGATGCTCTGAAATTGAGAGTATGTGACTTTCATAAAGTTTATCTTTTTAAAGAAGAGAGCAGATATTTTATATTTTATTGAAAATAATAAAATGAGAAAAATATCAAAAATAAAGAAAATTTCATAGAAATTCATGGATATCAGTGTAAGACGAATACATTCTTAATGATACATATGACACTTCCAATTCGATTGGACTAAGAAACATAATATAACTTATTTTTAATATGCTGTGTTTTTCTTTTTTTTCTTTTTTAATGTGTGATTCATTGAGAAACTTGGAAGGATAGTTATAACCCTTTTTATATAAAAATGAAGAAAATAAACAAAACTAGTTATCGAAAAGAAAATGTAGGATTGACGGAAAATAAAAGACAAAAAGATAAGAAGCAATTGAAAACCCAATTCATGAATAGCAGATCAGTATATAGTAGCAAAAAACAAATATAGATACTAAAAGAAAACCAAAACATACCTGATAAAGTGTTGTTAGACAAATTCAATATTTCAAGTGATGATAAATTGGAAATTGTTTGGGGAATGATTCCTGAAAGCTTGTTAGCTCCGAGTTGTAAAATCTTCAAATGCTCGAGTCTTCCAATCTCAACTGGAATGATTCCTTCCACCAAATTAGAATTCCAATCGAAGATCTCTAACCTTGATAGATTGAAAAGAGAAAATGGAATAATTCCACTAGGACTATTGTTTCGAAGATTCAAGTGCTCAAGTGCAGATAAATCTCCTATCCATGATAGAACTTGTCCTTGAAAGTCATTATAGCTCAAGTTCAGTAATTTCAACCTACAGAGTTGAACTAACTCATTTGGTATTTGGCCATGAAAATTGTTGTTACTAAGATCAAGTTCACTAAGAAATGATAGATTTCCCAACCGTGGAGATAAGATGCCCGTCAGACCCGTATCACTAAGATTCAAGGAATTGACTCTTTCAATGTGAATATCACAAGCGACACCAACCCATTTACATGGAGAAAAAGAGACAGACCAATTGACTAAGATATTGTATGGATCTGAAGTGACAAAGTTTTTAAGAGCAAGGAGTTCATATTTGTCAGAAATGATGTTTGTCTCACTCCAAGCAAAGGAGGCTATGGAGCAACATTGAAGTGAGAATAAGAGAAGAAGAAAGGAATGAAGTTTTCCCATGATTAGCATATTAGACTGATCAAAGATATGCAAGCTCTGTGCAATGAGGAATACACATTCTCAAAATTTATAATGGGACAATTTTTTTTATATTATTACAAAGAATTTTTCAATCGATCGTCAATATTTTCATTTCTATAATTAGTGGTGAGACAGATCTGTAGTTAATGGGCACTTTTAGCTTTTCGTTATCATTCTTTGGAAAAGATGTTTTAATTATTTAATTATTTGTTATATTATAATCCATACATAAAGTATTAAAGAGAGAGAGAGAGAAAATCGACAATCAACTTCTGCAGGTGTAAAGACATAGGAAAAATATTTAAGAAACACATTTTCTTACTGCAAAACTAAATACATTTTTACATTACAATACTTAAACTTCAGTGATTAAAAAATTTGTAAAGGAAATGTTGCAATTACTTATCTTGTTTTAGTTATTGTCAGGAAAAAAAATAGTCTAACACTTAAACCAAAGTAATTATTGATATTTACAATACTTAGACTTTATTAATAATTAAAAAAATTAATTGCAGATTAGAACTTATTATTTGCTATCCTGTTTTAGTCAACTTCAAAAAAAAGTTGTCATCAATTAAATCAAAATAATTGCTGATATTTTAAATTGGGGTCATTATAGTCATTTCATAAAATATATTAATGTTAGAAAAGTCTCAAGAAACTTGACACGAATTATCACATTTTGTGAGATCTCATTGTTATTTGTATATTTCAAGGGAATTTTTCTATCACTTTCCCAATTTTTTGCAAATACTAAAAATTTTGTGTCCGGCTAAGATATACTACTCGTTGATCTACACGTTTGTTTATTTATTTTTCTTTTTTTAAAAAATGTCCTTTTATATATCAATAATTGTGAGCTTCTTGATGTCATTCAATATAATAAGAAAAAAAATAAAAACAAAAAAGATGAGATGAGATGAGATAAAAGTATACAATAATTTGTTAAAGGACCAAAAACCATTTGCTTTTGATATACCCTTAATTATCTTTCATGGTGTTTCAATCTTGTTAGGTGAATCCAAACGTATCACTCTTTTGTTTTCTTTTTTTACTTTCCAAAAATGTTTCCTTTTTAAATTCATCTTTCATTTTTATTTGTTTAAGTTGGTAAGTTGGGTGATTGCTATACCAATGTTGCTATATGATAGTGAATGGAGCATTGAAAGGACACAATAAGAGCAAAAAAAAAAAATTGGGGTTGTAAAGATGATGATGTTGAAATGAATATGTGATATTGAGAGTGATAGAAAGATAGAAAAAGGATCCATAATGATTGTATATGAGAAAGAATTGAGATAGCATCTATGAAAGAGAAAATAGTTAAAAGAAATTATTTAAGATGGTTTAGATATATATATATATATATATATAAGAAATATCCTTAAGGCACTTACAAAAAAAAAAAAATTGAGTGGATAATCTTCAATCTTATAAAGAGATTCAGAGTAGAACAAAAATGACACATGAGAAAGTTATCAAATAGAATCCACTTGATGAATAATATATGTGTGTTTATAAAGAATTGATTGTTGATAAAAATTTAAGTGTCATGTAATCCATGTGTGATAAGGCATGTTGTTATTATTATCATCATTGTTTGCGTGTGTTTAACAATCATATCACTTTTTAATTAGAATTAATGAGCAAATACGACCTTGAACTACTACTCAAAAATTATTCCGGATCCTAAACTCTTAAAATATATAAAATAAACCTTAAATCTTTAAATTCATAACAAAATAAACCTTGACTGTTAATTTTTTAACACCATAACTATTCATACAGGTATTATTTAGATTTTATTTTTTTATAAATTTAACTCTGACTATTAGAATTCTCATGTAAACAGTTACGATGTTAAAAAGTTAACAATCATGATTTATTTTGCTATGAATTTAAAAGTTTAAAATTTATTTTACATATTTTAAGAATTTAAGATCCAAAATGATTTTCGAGCAATAATTTAAAATTCTATTTGTTCATTAACCCTTTTAGTTAAGATTTAACCCTAAGCTATGATGATCAGTCATAAATATCGATACCAAGTATGTGATTTTATAAATGAATTTATGCTGATCTTAATTAACACGTCAATAGTTTTTGCTTTAATTTTTTTTTTTTATAGTTCTTGCTCATTTTATAATTTCATTGGACAGTAACTTTCTCATGTTACATAGTAACTTTCCCTTGACAGCAAATAACACCAAATGCCATTGAAAACATAAAATTCACTCACAGCAACGAGAAGTAAACAGCAGACACTAAATTCACCAAAAAATAAAACATGAAATCATAAATATGAAAGAAAAATGAGCAAACTCTTTCAAAAAAAAATTATGTAGTAATAATCAAAACATGAAAATAAAGAGCATGCAACTATAAAAAGTTTTACTGTGTTAAATATTATATATTTTATGACATAAATGTTTAAACTTCAAAGATAATTCGGCAACCAGATTATAATATGAAAATATATACATGTTTTCCAGATGTGAAAGTATATAACAAGCATAAGTGAAAGTAAAAGTTCTCATTCATATAAAGAAAAGTGGAATCTAAAGTATGCATTTAATTAATCACCACCCAAAAAAAAAAGTATGCATTTAATTTTATGTCAAGTACTTTGTCGATAAAGAGTACTTTAATTTGTTGACAAAGTACTTTAATAAACTTTAAGATCTTTTTATATCGTTAAATGATATGCACGGATTATCGACATTAATTACATTTTTTTTTTAGAATTGATATTTCTCCAATTTAGGGCACTAGAATGTTAACAATCATCTTCAGGGATCAATTTACATTTTCCTTTTGATTTTTCCATCTATCAATATGGGCAGATGCATTATTTTGTAATGTATTCATTTGTAATTTAGAGTTATTAATTAGGGCCAACTTTAATAAGTCCAATTATACATTAGGACTCCATTTTGCAAGGTTCCGAGGCCTTGGCCCTAAGAGTTGAAGAGTTTTCTTTTTCAATTTAAAAACCTAAAAAAATATATAATCATAAAAAAATTATTACGCATAAAATTAAGTTTAGAAAAATAAATTTAAATCAATCCACATCATAACAAATATGTAAAACTTAAACATCCAAATGTAATATCAAATAGCAGCATCAAATTAACATTAATTAATAAAAAATAAATTTTGCTAGTATCATCAGCTAAATTTTGAAAAATGAAAGAGGGAGGAATGAATGAAATTTAAAAAATAATAAAAGAACTTAAAACGATCAATCTTAGCTCTAAAGGGCTAGTTCTTTTATTTTAAGTTTAAAAGAACTGGATTACTATTTTTTTATTTTAAAACAATGACCCGACAAGCTTGACCCTTATTAATAGCTCTAATTTGTATACACTTTGAATTCTCATACGTACTCTAATCTCTTTCTCTCACTAAGTAATTCCAATTTCTTTTGTTTCTTCAAACAGACTAGAGATCCTTGTTTTGTATTATTCCCTGAAACTCAAGAAATTTGACAGCAACACAGAAACTGATATTCTCAATGGTACTAAAAGTACAGCAACAAGTCTCAGGCAACACAAATGACAAGCAAATAACATAGCATGAGAAACCAAAAGGGAAATGAAGGGGGAAGGGAAGAGTTCTATTAAATCTAATCAAACATAATTCAACCCAACTCAATCACAACAATTTAAAAACATGTTAAATTTAATTACTTTTAAACAAAAATCTAGTAATATAATGAATTAAAAATAAGACTTTTCCTAGGCGTTTTGCTCATAATTCACACTAAATTTCATCCCTGTATAATTCAATCCAACCTAATTCAACTCTACTCAGTTATAGCAACAATAAAATTCACAATACAATAACCTCAACATATATTAGTCCAAATCCTTTCACATTACAATAATCAATAGGTAGAAAATTTCAACACAAAAATCACATAGGTAGAATAAAATGCAAGAAAATTCATGTTCTGGACACAGTTGTATGTAGAATTTAACTAAAAAAATTCAAGTTGCACATGATCAAATTCAATGAAAAAAAAAAATACAACACCAACATCTTCAAAAATTCAATTTTTACTACATAAAATTTTAAAAAATGAAATTCCAACAAGCCAAAATCTAAATTATCAATGATAAGTACTTCTTAAACAATTTAGGTTGAATTACTCACTAAAACTTAAGCACAAACAACACACAATGCTCCCAATGCACGAGCAGCTATACCTAGATGAAATTTCAAGATTCAAAACTGAAATGAGCATGGAGCAAGCTTAAAATCACTATGGGAAGTTTGAAAATGATAAAAAAAAAAAGAGAGGATAAATTACAACATCCATATGCTAAAATAATCAAAACCACACTACTCACACATATGAACTCGAATTTGGAGAGGTCAAGAATTCAACTATATGGGGGATGAGAATGCACGATAATGATAGGGGGAGGCCAAAATGAGAAGGAAAGCTTGAAATGAGAGTGGGTTTGTCGAAATGGTGTGGAGAAATGGTAGGTAGCTCTGCACAAGAACGATCAATGACAACGTGAAATGGAAGACATTGAACAAGTTTGGAGGGTTTTTTTAAATTCATATATTTGACAGTTTCGTGCTTTAACTGTCAAATATCTTCCTCTAAGGTGGACGGTTCTTAAATGCAACCATCAAATAAGTTAAATATTTTTTCCAAAAAAATTATTTTCATAAGTTTGATGGTTCACCTAAACAACAGTCAAACTTTTTACTTTCAGGTTTATTATATTTGATGGTTCCCTAGGTGAACTGTCAAATAAACTCTCCCACCTCCTTATATTTGATAATTTGTTTAAACAACTGTCAAATATAATACGTCAAGTATATCCTATTCTGTAGTAGTGCCAAGAAAGAAAGGAGAACCTCAGTAGGTGAGTTTTTCTCCACTATTTTTTCCCTCCATTATCTTTCTACTACAAATCCAAACAATCAAATTAAATTTAGACCTTCAAAAATTATCAAATCTA